TGTGAAATGATGGCTGTATCGTCTGCGTATAACGCAAGATCGATATTTGGGGCCTTAGGAATATCATTTACATAAAGGTTAAAGATTGAAGGGCCAGGAGGACTACCTTGAGCCACCCAGCATAGATTGGGCGGGGAGAGGAGAATTCGTGGTTAACTCGCACGCGGAAACTGCGTCCGGTCAAGTACGAGTTAATAATTTTAATGAGATGAGCCGAAAAACCAAGCCGCATGAGCTTGTAAATAATCCCGTCATGCCAAGTCCTGTCAAAGGCTTTGGCAACGTCCAAATAGACAATTCCAGTTTTCTCTCGCTTACGAAAGCCTTCATGAATGAATTCCACTACACGGAGTAACTGGTGTACCGTGGAGTGTTTAGGTCGGAAGCCGAATTGTTCCGGGATTAGTAAATTTTGATCCCGACAGAATTCATTCAGGCGATTAAGTAAGACAAATTCATAGATCTTTGAGAGAGAGGATAACAGACTTATGGGTCTGTAATTGACGGGTAAGTTCAGACTTTGTCCCGGTTTTGGAATGGGGACGACGGGACGACTGCTGCAATTTTCCAACAGTCGGGGAAATAGCTTCTCCTGAGCATTAAATTAAATTTATGAGTACCGTGATCCATACGATAAACATTGGGGGGAAGTTTTTGATCATGCGATTCGAAATAGAATCTATGCCAGGTGCCTTGTCAGGTTTCAATTTATCAATGAAAACCATGACTTCAGTAGGGTCCGTTGGCCTGAGTTCAGTTGTGATAGGGTTGTGTTAAAAAATCTTTAACCCGTGCTTGTATGCGCCCCTGTGTAACCGGGCGGTTACAGTAGGAGTCGTGGATTTGGTGTGAATTGAGTTGCAAGGCTGTCAGCTATGACATTCAGCCTTTTCTGAGTCAGTGTAGGCCATCTGTGCGCCATCGGCCGTTTGAAGGGGCGGAATGAGTGTTTTATGTTTGCGTAATCGGGCGGCTGCGCGCCAAATCGATTTGTCTTCAGTCGTTAGGGACTCAATGTATGTTTTCCACTCCGCTTGTTTTAATAAGCGGGTTTCGGTCCTTATCTCGTTCTGTATCTTGCTGGGAAATTGGGCACGGATATTGGGATCTCGTGACCTTTGCCAAATTCTTCGCAAGTAAGTTCCGCTGCTTAATTTTGAATTTAGTCTCAGGTGGGAGCCTAGCACCTGGGTGTTTACGTGGTTTTGAAGCCGCAGCTCTCGCTTCTTTCAGTAAAGACTCCAAACTTTTGATATGCCTGTCAAAGTCCGAATTGCTGGAAATTTTGATGGGAGGGAGTGAAGTTTTTTCCAAAAATAAATCTAAAGTCGTCCCAATTTGTTGAGACTTGCTCCTCTAATTTTGAGTATCGATTTTGAATATCTAGGGTTATCAAAACGGGGTAGTGATCAGAGTCCAATTCCTGAATCACTTTTATCTCATGCCGAAAAAATATATTATAAAAGGCAGCCAGATCAAGAACTGCAGGGGACCCTCTTACAGGGTAAAAAGTCGGGAGGGTAGGAGCTATGATCTGTACATGGTTACTCTGGCACCATGAATTTAGACTAATACCATACCTGTTCCTATTAGAACAAAACCATGCGGTATGGCGTGAATTTAGATCACCAGCAATAATTAGGTGATTTGAAATATTCAAAAGTTTATCAAAATCACTGACAGGAAAAGCTGGCCTTCCACGTGCTGTAGACAGTGGAGGTAGATAAGCTGAGACTATTGTCAGCGGGGAGGAATTTTGAAGGAAAATTTTGATGATTGTCGCTTCCAAAAAATTTAAATCAGGGGACGGTATCATGTGGTGCTTTAACGAACGCTTCACATAGGTACAAGTGCCACCACTGGGATTTCTGCCCTGTGACACCCTGTCAGTACAATAAATGTCATAATTCCCAATTTGGGGAGTATTCCCTGGGGTAAGGTGAGTCTCTTGGACTAAAAAACACGTCAATATCGTGCTCTACTACAAAATCACGAACTTCGTGAATTTTAGATGTCAATCCATTGGCATTCCACGTGCAAATGGTCAGTTCTCTGGTGGTATTTGAACTGTCATTCATAAAACTGAATTTTAGGGCCGTTATTAGAGGTTCATCACTGAAAAACAGAAGACATGGGTCTAAAAAAGCCGAATTAAGTTGAAAGCTCAACATAGCTTTCATAAATATAAAATGCCCTCATTAAAGCATCTGCTTGCCTGAGTTTAGGCATTGCTTTTTTGAAGGCAAGGAAGCAGAATATGCTTGTCTACCGCTGGGTCGCGGGAGATTTCAATTAAGCATTTTAGTGTAGATAAAAAGACATCGTCGGAATCATTGCTACACTCTGCTGTGGCTGACACTGCTGGGGCTGCAGGGGCTTCTGCAACCGGCAGATTCGTGGATTTGAATGTTGTGGGACGTGCTTAGCACTCAGCAGTTGCTGGGGACTTAGAAGAACCCTGCGGGGGGGCTGTCTGAGCAGCTGCCCTAGTCTTAGGCGCGGAATTTTTACCACGAGCCCGTTTGTTACCTGGGTAGCGGGGACAAGATTTATAAGAAGCAGGATGATCTCCACCGCAGTTGCAGCAAGTGGCAGGTACGTCTAAGCCTTTGGTACACTCACGTGCCCAATGGGGTCCAGAGCATCTGACACAACGGATTGGAAGGGTGCAGAGTTCCGAAGAATGGAAAAAGCCCTGGCACCGAAAGCACTGAGTAGGGCCCTTGCGGCCGCGGTAACGCTCAATGCTGATCTCTGTGCCCCACATGTCAGTGACGGCAAACAGATGATCGAGGAAGGGGTGTGGGATAACTTGTAAATAACAAGTGGCATGGGGGATGTCTGGAGCCAGGCTGAGTAAGCCGAACGATGCGATGCACTTTAAATCCCATCGCCTCAACTTCCTCTTTGATGTCCCCGACGTTCTGTTTCAACAGGGAGGCCTCTGATAACAATTTTGACTGGCCGGTCCTGCTTGAGATCGAAAGTTTTGAACTGGATGCCGGCTTGCTTCATCCAGCGGGTGACCTCCCTGAACTCCAGCTCTGTCTGTACAAAAATTTTTAGATAAGGGTCCAGTCAGAATGCTCCGTAAATTTGGGGCAATTTCTCTCATGAAAGACACTTGTGTCTTCCAGTTCTTGCTGCTTTTGAGATGTATTGCCGGAATCTCAGGCTGCGGTGGGGGGGGGATACGTTCCGTGCCTGCTCGGATTTACTCCAGTGGTGCGCTCACTAGCGTACGAAAACCGGAGTATAGCCAAAGATTGCTGAGTGATCATGTCTTCTCCTTTGGAATAGTAACATGGCTGCTTTCGTTGGAGCGAAACTTAACTAATAGATTTCTATAGAGAAAATGTTGTGTTGTGGGACACGAGTAATGTAAATTAAAAAAAAAAAAAAAAAAGAAATTAAGAAAGAGATTCTCTTATTTTGATAAGATTTGTCTTCCCCATTACTTTATATATTCAAATGTTTTCTAATTCCGGGTGAAAATGATTTTTAACTCCCCCAAGAAAAATTCCAAAAACTATTAATGATGGCATGTCATAGGTACTAGATGAAAATATTCAGAAACTACTTGAAACTGTGGTCGCACTTATTGAAAAAATTCAAAAAGCAAAATCTCCAGTCGAGAATAAAGCAGCGCCGAGACTCAATTGACTTCGCCGAAAATGGGAGTTAATCAGGTGACGAAGTACATAGCTTTTCCGACAGCTCCTACACGAGCGATCATAGCCTAGTGGTAAACAGAAGACTAGGTTTTCTTCGTACGTCGAGATCGTGGGTTCGATCCCCCATCTTAGTTTTGGACTTTCTACGCCTGGAAGAACTTTTTAATTTAGTTTCTCCATCACTAAATTCGAACTGCATGACTTAAAAGTCACGTTTTATTTTTTCGCCTACGGGTGGGGTGTTTATTGAATTTTAACGTCTTTCTTTTTATTTTTTGAATGGCCGTTGGCACGGGTTTTAAATCTACTGGTCAAAAGTCACAAACTGAGTTTTGTGTTAATTGAATTTTGCGAAAGCAAATTACAGCCCAATTTAATTCAATATTGCTAAATTTTATTCGCTGATTAACTGATAGAGCCATATAATCATAGTTTTCAGACTGTATTAGTTATTTAATTATGCTGATATTAGTTTTTTAATGTTCACAAAATATACCACTTAAGACTTTGTACCTTTTTGATATATCTTATTTAAAATTTTTGCACTGAAATTACACTGTTGCTTTGTAATGTAGTAATCTTTATTCTTTATTAATACTTTTTACTCATATTGGTTTGATATTCATGATATTATTGTCTATTTATTAATTAATAAAGGTTTCGATTTAAAGCACAGTAGTTACTTATTTTTTCTGAAACACGGTTATTTTATTATTTCAAGATTTAAATGCACAAATAGGAGTGCCAGAAAGTGAAATTTAAAAATAAATAAATAAACTAAAAAAGGAGTAATCTGTGTACTCAGAACACAAAAGAAAAGCTTTTTTTTTTTTTTTTTTTTTTCCCTGCAAACTAAATTTAGCAAAAAATCAAAATCACGCGGCATCATCCGTAAATACTTTCCGAATTGTACTGTGTCTTCAATACGCAACTCCCGGCGCAGGGAATTACGACGGCACTATGAATTTCTCGTCGTTTGACCCAATTTCTGGTCCAAACGCATTTTTTCCCCTTCTGTAGCAGTAGCTAAGTTCAAAATTGTAGCTGTATCTATAGTAGCAATTTAAAATAGTCATCCATTATTTTGACTATTTGACAACACCGTAAGCTTTGTTTACAAATCGTAGACAGTGTGACGCTGTAGAGGGCAGGAACACTTCCTTTCATAGTGATTGGCTGAGTGAATTCCTGTACTAACGAGAAAATCGTTCCGTGTGGACAGACGAGCTATCTCAGATATTGTCGGCCAGATAAGTCGGCCGAGAAAATCCCTACGTGTAGACGGGCCTTTATAGATGTGAAACAATTGAAAACCAGAAGACTTACTTTTTGTTTATTTACAACACTTTCCACAGTGCTCTTTGTCCTGAATTCATTCTTTTTCACTTTACACCATGCATCAAACGCAGCAGACTTCAAGTCAAAGGCATTGTAAACATTTATATTATCATCTCTTAAGAGAGAATTTACTTTAGAAGATTGCTTATGAATATTTGGGCTAAAATTAATAAAAATACAGGATTCAAAATTTTGGGTTAGGATTCCAAATTTCAATCACATTCAGATACTACTATTAAAAGGAAAAAACAGAAAAACATACCTTATTGGGAATGAAACCATATCACGTTTTGTACTAAGTATTAAATTTTCTTTTTTCGATATTTTTATATCTTTCACAGCAGCATCTGAAAAATCATAAAACAATGTTGAACTTAAATTTCTACAAATTAACCTCATCAGAATTGCTATCAAAATACTATAGCCAGCAATACCGCAGTTAGTATATCACAGTATAACTGAAGCTTAGAAATTAAGGATTTAATCTCTTTATATTTCCGAAATTAGATTATGTTTTTTTGTTTTGTTTTCTACACATTAAACGTTAACACTTATGCAAAAAACAGCAGACAGCAAATGCAGAGAAGTTCCTTTCTCCGACCTCCCACCACCGATATAGTGATTGTTAAAAAATAATTTCTTTAAGGTATTCAGCAAGAATCATTTCATGCAATTCCAAAGAGTCTTGATATATTCTTGATATTACGAATTGTTACACAGAAAACAAATGGCCAGTTTCACAAAGGTTAAGTACTTCAGAAATTCACCAATGAATACAGATACACAAATATCGTTCTCCTACAGGAACACATGCATGGTCTACATAGATCTTTTTAAGCCAGCTATTATATTTACTCATTGCCTTGGTCGACTTTTAGCCATCAAGTCTGTAGCTATCACTACCACCCCATGCTCAGTCACTATTACCTCAACCAACATCTCATCATATGAATCTGCTGGAGAACAGTACAAAGATTTCCTTACCTTATCTAACATGGACAATTGTGTAGTTATAAGCACCGATTTTAATGCCACAACCGCACTTGGAACTGCAATAATTTTAATACGCTTGGTAGCAAAATCTATGACTCATCCCAGAAGGCAGTCTTCTTTATTGCAGCTCCTAACAACCAACAAATTATTGTACTGTCATTCCCCGGCATTCTTGAATTCGGTTTGCTAACAAAATATCATTACTTAATCATACGAAGGCTATTCAGAAAGTAAGGAACGTTTCTGTCTGACGTCGCTAGGCGCGCGCCGATCACGTATATTTTGGTGTCTGCGTATTCGGCATCTCAATCGACGTCAGCCATCACAACGGGAACATTTCCACGCTGCCCGTTTTTTCGATACTGTAAAGGCCCTTATTTTCGCGAGGCTTTAATTTCCGCTTCAAATAATAATAAAAAATCACAAATATTTCACTTACCCAAAATTTAATGATTTATTGCACAGTTACAAGCTTTTTCTTGACAACTTTCTTTCTTATCACTATTTTTTGAATAATATACAACTATATTTCTCGAATATAAAACAATAAAATTAATAGAAGGCAGCTCATTCACTTAGAATACTATTTATACCAGCTTCTTTGAAGCCATTATCTCATGTTTGGCATCAATACCGTTAAATACGCGCACAAGCCAAGAAGCGTGAATCGGTTTTAGTCGTGATATTCGCAAATCCACAGATTCTCTTTCCTCTAGAAATTGAAGCTTATTAGAATACCACTCAATAAACTCATTCTTGAGTAAACGCTTGAACTCGCCATTTACAGTTAAGTCCAAAGGTTGGAGCTCTCCTGTGCAGGATGCGAGCTCAAAAACTGAAATAATATTCCTCTTCTCTGGTTCAGTCAGAAAAAGAGGATCTTGGTGTGCCTTAAAAACGTCGAACAATCCTACACCAGGTTGTTCTGAAACTAGCCCGAGAAGCTCTCTCTGTTTGTCGTAATAAGGTACAAGAATATTCTCGATGTATCGAATCATTGTGTCAGTATTACTCCAGTGCGAATCGGTGTGCCACACGTCCCAGTCCGCGGGAAATGTAAACTTTTTGGATGACAATTTGTTGTTTTTCTAGCGAACAACAATTGAGGTTGGAAGTAGGTTTCCAGCAAGGGAACATGCTAACAAAACAGTCATCTCTCTTTTATCTTTCATGCCGATTACAGACACTTGTTTTGAACCACGTTTTTCCAATGTGTAATTAGATGAAGGCACAAACTTTGCGTTTGTCTGACCAAAGTTAACGAACATCTCAGGGGTAACAACATTTTTGTCGATCACTGTACGAACACACTTAACGAATTCGTCTCGAATAGCTGGGAAGTCTGGGGGCAGTTTTCGTGCAGCCTTTGGTTCCCTTTCTACGGACAAAGTTCATTCTTTCCAGCAGGGTTCTGGCCCATCTTGGGTTCAAATCGAAAGCGTTTAGTAGAGATGGATCATATGATTTCACAATTTCTTTTGCAGCTGCAATAACAATAACGCGGTACACTATTCCGGCAATCCGCAATTTACGTATATACGTTTGAACGCTTGCATCGAAATCACAAAGTTTTAGGAGGCGACCGCGATTACAGTGCGGTAAAGTTGTTACATCGTAAAATGCTTTATGCAAAAGATGTACTTTTGGAATTTTTCAACGTTCTCAACTTTACTTAAGTACTTTTGAAATTTTTCAACTTTCGGTTCTGTTCATATAAAATTCGCGAAATGTTCAGCTCGCGAAATCACCGATATATTCATTTTCGCGAAAATTACGGCCCGCGAAAATAAGGGTCTTTACAGTATTCAAATTTGAAATGTGCGCTGCAATTGAAAATCCCGCCAGTTGTGAGGTGCGGTCTGTGATACGGTTTTTGTTGGCAAAAAACCTAAAAATCTATGGAAATTTACTGGGAAGTGTGTGAAATGTACGGAAACAAAGTAATTAAAAGAAAGTTCAATCCGGAAATGGTACATTCAGTTTAAAAATGGCTGAACTAACGTTCACGATGAAAAGAAGAGTGGACGCCCTAGCATTGTGACTGACGAACTGGTCGCTAAAGTTGATGAAAAGATTCGTGAAAAACCACCGTTTCACAATAACGGAAGCTTTTGCTTAGTTTTTCACAAGTTTCACAGAAAACTTTGAAATTGAATTTGAAATTGTCACACAAAAGCTAGGCTACCAAAAATTTTGTACAAGATGGGTGCCGAAATTGCTTACAGACCACCACAATAAAGGTCAGCGAAAGGGTAGCAGCTTTGACATTGTCTGGAGGCCTACAACAGACATGGTGATTCATTACTGGATCGAATAGTAACTGGTGACGAGACGTGGGTGAGACACGTGAATTGCGGGACAAAATTACAGTCCATGCAGTGGGGGCACACAAGTTCCCTTCTAAAAGACCAAGAAAATGTTTTGCAAACCTTGTCGCCAAAGAAGGATTATGGTGACTGTGTTTTGGGATGGGCAAGGATGTGCTTCTGATTGATTTTCTCGAACAGTGGTGCCACAATAAACTCTGAGCGGCACTGTCAAACTTTGGGCAACCTTAGGAAGGCAGTTCAAAACAAGTGCCGAGGAAAGTTGACGTCAAATTTGTTGATTTTGAACGACAATGCCTAACCTTACACGGCAAACCGCACTCAAAAACTTCTTAATTCATTCAAATGGAAGTTTTCCCTCATCTGCCAAATAGACCCAATTTTGCACCTAGTGTTTTTCACGTGTTTCCAAGAATGAAGAACTGGCTAGCAACACAGCGCTTTGACGACGACAAGGAGCTGCGGGTGCGCGTCACTGAGTGGCTGAGATCGCAGGCGGTAGAATTCTATGACGAAGGAATGTCAAAGCTTGTCCACCGCTATGATAAGTGCCTCAATTTGTTTGGTGACTATGTAGAAAAGTAGAATTTTAGTCGCTCTTTCTAATGTATATAATAATTTTTTTCCCTTGTACATAGTTTTTTTTTTTTAATTCCAAAACGTTCCTTACTTTCTAAATAGTCTACGTATATTGAGAATATGAATGAACTTTCTTCTGATCATACTACTACTAATTGAGCTGGACCTTACTACTACTAATTGAGCTGGATGTGAAAAGTGAACAATACCTATTGTATCTTCCCAACAATATATTCCTGGAATGATTAAGCGAATAAACTAATTATTTTAGTGACGAACTGCAAGTTGCAGTTTTAAAAACAACAACGACGTTTCTTCATCCAAGCATGATAAAAATCCAACTATTCGTGAAATGATTAAAAGCACGAACTTAAGCATAAAAACACGGCAAAAAACTTGCTGCCCTGACGACAAAAGACTGATGTATCGATTGAATCACGAGGTCAGAATCCTTATCAACACTCAAGTATAATTTGACCAGACATTGAGAATCATTATCCAGGGATAATAATTCTATCTGGAGCGGCGTTTCTAAGTATTAAAGATGCTATACAATGATTCTGCTCTTTAATAGCTTTAATGAGATGGCATACATCGGGACCAAGAAGGCTAAATGACTTGCTAAAATACTCAACTTGAAATAATAAATATGCTAAAATAGGCATCTCGAGACGCACTAACAATGTGTCCTCTCCCCATACAAACCAATTAGTCGATTGAATTACGGCACGATACTTTACACAGACGAACACAAAATTCTTTTCTCCACTCATGCAATCAGGAATTCTGAGAAAGGAGTTACCCCCCCCCACCGAAAAAAAAAAAAAACTGAGATAAGCTGAGAAAAGGAAAACCAGGAAGAACCACGGACTTGAGAAGATCAATAAGTAAGTGATTAAAGAAATGGATGCAATAATGCTCGTCAAGTTTACCGAAATTATCATTTACATTCTCCAAATTCAGCACCTCCCAACCAACTGGAAGCTGGCCATTATTTTTTTGATCCTGGAAGGAGTCCCAACCCGGCACCAAAGCACTCGATCAGTCTTATATCTGCACTTAGCAAAATTTCTGTCCGTATCGCACATAATAAGATGCTTACACCTTCTAGGTTTAGGGCGACAATAAGCCATTGAGCAGCAACTAGCACAGATGTAGTAGCGCACATTCTGGACAATATCTTCGGGCCTGATAACATAAACATAGATAATCCCACACAAAAAAATATCAGAGCCAATGTTGAGAAATATTACAAAACGAATAAAACAGACATAGAACCTCTGCTAACCGCCAAAGAAGTGGGCGACATAGTTAAATCATTAAACCCCAATAATGCCGCAGGTCCTGATGGAGCAGACAACGGCATTCCGCAAGCCATTAACAGCCCGCATCCGGTATTATTGTACGCCTAATTAACTGCATGCTGGCGCAACAGGCATTTCCCAGCT